CTTGATAGACTTTGAATATATAGTCTGATTAAGTTTTTACTCTTAGCTTTGTTCTACTGAGTTATGTTTTTCTTTCTACACTAATTTCACCTTGTTTTATTTATTATTGTAAATATAGGTTCACATACCTAGCAAAATAATTTATTCCTCTTGGATACAGTTTTTTATTAACATATTCCCTGGTATTTATAACCATTTGTTCATCTATACACATTCTTATATAATTTATAAAGGTATCAAAAGTCCCTGTTGGATTTGTAATTAGAAGTGAATTAAATGCAGCATTACTCTCAATTTATTCATTTTTTCTTTTGAATCTTGCATTGAAGCTTCATTGTTTTTATTCAGAACAGGTCCTAATATCACATGATTATTCTCAAGTTTCAGGATGGTAAGCTTTTATTATTATTTTCACAGACATTTCTTCACCACCACGTAACTTTTCTTTTAATTCGTAATTAGTTACTATTCATTATTTACATCTCAGTATAGTTGAAATTATCTACTTTACACTTACCTTTTCTACTTCTTCAATAGTTAATTAATCTTCCTGTCACAATTGGTTCTTTTTTTTTTTTGTATCAGGGATTGAACCCAGGAGTGTTTAATCACTGAGCCACACCTTCATTTTTATATTTTATTTTATTTTGAGATAGGGTCTCACTAAGTTGTTTAGGGCCTCACTAAATTGCTGAGGCTGGCTTTGAACTTGGAATCCTCCTGCTTCAGCCTCCTGAGCCACTGGGATTAGAGGTGTGTACCAGGCCCAGCTTCCTGTCACAATTGGGACAAAATTCTAAACCATTTATTTCCAATTTAAAAAATATGTATTATTAATCTGTTAAACACAAATCAGATTTCTTTTCATATATGCTAAGATATGGATCTAATTTAATTTACATTCTGTCCATCCCTTTATCCAGTTTCTCCAGTAATGATTGTAAATTATTCAGTCTCCCATTGTTTTGCTACTCCTAATTAAAGTTAATTTCTATATAAATTTAAGCCTGTTTCTAGAATTTCAACCATTTTTAAAATACCTTTATTTTACTTATTTATTATATGTGATGTTGAGGATCGCACCCAGTGCCTCACACATGCTAGGCAAGAACCTGCCAGTGAGCTACAACTCCAGCCCTCAAGTATATTTTGTTTTTATTTTGAGTTTTTAAAGTTACACGGATAGTGTATGAATAATTCTTGCTGTAAAGATTCAAACAGCTCATCTTATTGGGTAGAATGGAAAAGTTCTCACCCTTAGTATTCATCCTTTTCTTATACACCATTCCCCTTGTGAAGGTAATTACTACCAAGTTTTTTAATGCACGAATACACATGTACTCTCTCTATATATTACATATTTTTAAATAAAAAGTAATCATACTGTATGCATAGTTCTACAGTTTGTTTTTTATCACATTAATAAGTCTCAGAGCTTTTTCTACATTTATGCATTCTTTTTAATGTGCATGATTTCCCATAATATGGATGTATCATCATATTTTATTTAGAACCCTACTTGTGGGCATCTAGGATTTTCCCAGTTTCTATTGCAAGTGATACTGCAGTGACATCCTGCAAATATATCTCTGTGCACATGTATTAATTTCCTTAGAATAGATTCTTAAAATCGTAATCATTGCTTTAATAAGGGAGTGATTTTTATTTTTAGTTTTTGTAACTTTTAAATTTTATTTTGCAATGCTGAGACTCAAACCCAGGGCCTTGATGCATATTGGTCAGTATTCTACTGTTGAGCCACAGCCCAGATGGGCTTTCCAAGTTGTCAAATATTGCCACATTACCTCCTAAAAAGGGATTTGCCTTTGATATGCTTACTAATGGATTATAATGTGCTTGTTTCCCCATAAACTCACAGACTTTTTTGAATTTTAAGAATATTTTCAATTTTTTGCCTATCTGATGGGTGAAAACAGTCAATTCCTTGTTTTTTCTAAAACTTTCCTGAAAACTAGTGAGGCTATGTATCTTTTTGTGTTTACTGGCCATTGGAATTTGGAAATGTCTGACTGCACCATTTATCCACTTATCTATGGCTCATTAGTTTTATTCATTTTTTATTTTTTATTCACACACAACCCATTTGTGTGTATTGGGTTTTTTCCCCTAACTTCATGGATCTAAATCATTTTTTTGTTACATTTATTACAGATATTTTCTTCAATCTATTGGTTTTTTAACTTTATGGAGTTAAATTTCTTGATCTTTTGACTTACAGCTCCTAGGTTATAAAAATGTTCTCCAGTAGTTTTGCCATTGCTTGTTTTTTTGAAAAAAATATTTTTATTATCATTACTGCCCAGCTTATTTGTGCTGGATTATGTGCCGAAGGTAAGATCTTCCAAAGAGTATCTACATAACCTTCTTTCTTGTTTAGGAGGTGGAAATAACAAACCAGCAGATAAAAAAAAAATTGTACATACAGTAGTTGTCCTATCATATCTTCAGAGGATTGGTTCTGCTTATAAAGTGGCATACTATTTGCATTTAACCCCTACCCCACCCTTCCATATACTTTAAATCACTTATAGATTACTTACAATATCTAGTAGAGGGTAATACTGTGTAAATAGTTGTTATAATGTATTGTTGAGGGAATAACAATAAGAAAAAGCCTGAACATGTTCAGTACACAGTTTTTTTGTTTTTCCTTCCACAGTTAATTGAATTTGCTGATAGGGAACCTGTAAATACAGAAGGCTGACTATGTGAGAGTTTATTTTACTTGTAGCTTTTATATATTTGCAAAGTAGATTACCCCAAGGAAGCAGCAGAGGGCTTCTGAGCCCAAGGAAGCAGCTGACAAGGAAAGCTGACAGCCTACCTGATAACGCGTTACAGAGTCCCAAAAGGACATAGAGCTTGCAGCATAATCTCAACAGGGGTGTGGGTGTGGAGTGAACAGAAAAAGCTGTTTGGGAACCAGTTAGATCCCTAAGTCCTATAGACATTTCCAGTTGTCTGGGCAATTACCTTGCCCCAAGTATGAGTCTAGAGGTTTAATTCTTACAGAGGGTTAAAGAAAGTGTCTCTGGGGACTGGGGCTTGTAGCTCAGTGGCAGAGTGCTTGCCTAGTGAGGCACTGGGTTTGATCCTTAGCACCACATAAAAATAAACAAATAAAATAAAGGCATTCTGTCCATCTATAACTACTAAAAAAAGGAAGTTCTCTGGTTTGGGGGATACTAGGCATAATCAGTAATGCAAATCAGAGGGATTAAATGAATGTATGCCTCTGATACTAACTTTCCAGCTCTTTTCCCCCATTGGCTCCCAAATTTCTAGCAGCCAGTGCTTTGCTTTCCAGGCAGAAAATAGAAAGAATTCACTGAAGAATTTGACCAATCTAAGCAAAAATTTTAAATGTTTGGGGAGTGGTCAACAAGTAGCATGATTGTACAGCATTTCCAATCTGTTTTTTGTTTTTATGAATGGAAAAAAAAAGTTGATTAGAGGAAGATAATGTGAAATGGAAGAAAGAGATGAAATGAACAAATAGTAAGAAAGCAACTTAGAAAAAGTGGACACCATTCACAGAAAAAAAAGTGAAATGGTAAAATGAATAAAACCTACAGAGAAATATGACAGACAAAAATGAATGCTAAATAAATGAAAACACAGAACAAAATGTTCTCTGAGAGGAAATGGAAAAGAAATAAGAACCTACCTCAGTTAAGTGTTAGAAAATCAAGGTAAGTAACTTTGAGAATGGACAGAGATAGAAAATAGGGGTGGAAAAATAAACAAAACAAAAACAAAAATCCAGAAGACTGAGCACTGGTTAGCAATCCCAGGGCAGGACTTCAAAAGCTTCTCTGTTCCCTGCATCTTGATATCAAGAGTCACCAAGGAAAATACAACTGTTGAGCATTGGATGTAACCATACCTTTCATGGAGAAGAGACAGAGCAAGATCAACCCCAGCAGAGTGCATTAGGCCCTAGTGGATCTCCCTAATAGCCACCACAGGACAGTTTGCCTATGTCACCTACCTTGGGCCACAGCAGAAAGACATTCCTGATTTGGGTCAGTTGGAAACCTCAAGTAAGACCTGTTTTCATGCAGCACTGAACAACTAATGACATTGCTGACTACAAGGCTATTGAAATTAGGTTATTCTCTGAGAGAGAAATCAGAAAGTAAGGAAGGACTGAGGATGTAGCTTAGTGGTAGCCTACAATGTGTAAGAGCTATGTTTGTTCCCTAGCACTACCACCAAAAAAAAAAAGTTAAGGTATCTGGATAGTAGTCACATGATTATTTTCATTCTGAAAATTAATTAAGACGTGCCTTTATCATTTGAACACTTTTATATTATACTAAAAAGTTAAATTAAAAAATAGCCAGGTATGGTGGTGCATGCCTGTCATCCCAGCAACTTGGGAGGCTAAAAGCAGGAGCATTGCAAGTTCAAAGCCAGCCTCCACAACTTAATGAGGCCATCTCAAAAAATAGAAAGGGCTGGGGATGTGGCTCAATAGTTGAGCACCCCTGGGTTCAATCCCTGGTAACAACCACAACAAAGTGAAAAGTAGTGTAAAAGTTAAATGTGAATATTGTTGATTCATCAAAATATATTTTAAAGTTAATATTAATTAAAAGGAACAGACAACTATTGTTAACGTTGCAATAATGAAATTTTTTTTGTAGAGGTGTACAGTGAGGCTTAGGAAAAGGACATGGAATTATAAATAGTTGATATTTTAACTTGTTATTATTTTATGCAATTAGCATCTTATAATAAAAAGGAAAGAATGCCACATGTGTCTACTTGGTTGTACTGTTGTACCAAAAATAAAGTTTTCCTGTCTTAGGTTGTCCCCCTGAATTGGGATAAATACGGCTAATTGTGGAAACAAAAGGGAGGATTTCTTTGTTTTTGAGATTTATCGTTATGCTCCTTTTACTTTGAAATGTAATATTTATATTAATCTGTGAATATGTTCTCATTTCTGTTCTTTATTTCTCCTTGTTTTCTAGGTTTTTGTGGAGACTCTGGATAAGTGTTTTGAAAATGTTTGTGAATTGGATTTGATCTTCCATATGGATAAGGTACATTCTCTCTCAAACCAGGGTTACTGAAAAACTGTGAGCCTATAGCATCTTTAGCCACCTTTACATCTTCATGTTCTTTCTCTTGGTTTTACTCTGATATAGTCCTATGACCTATTTATGTTTAATAACTTTGGTTTAGGGCTTTTTTTTTTTCTAAGATCTATCAATTGTTTTAACATCTACAAGATTATCACTGGGCCTATATTGTGGTTCATCTGTTCATAGGCTTCTTGGTGTAGAGCAGTGATAACTCTAGAGTAAGTGGCCACATAGTTTTATATTGCTTATAAAATAAGTTTCATAGGCATAAGCCAAAATGATAATGAATCTTTGGAATAATTATAATACCAGGGCTTTGACTTAGTAAAATTTATATCTTTCCTAAGGGGTAATGTAGTGACTAATATACCTGTGACATAATTTGAGGTCAGGCAATACTCTGTAGGAAAGCACACTCCGAGTCAGAATTCAGAACAAGTAGTGTTCTTAGATTTTTTTTCTAGCATAACTGGGACATGGCCTGTGTCCTAGCATGCCAAGTTAAACATAGATGATAGCCAGCAAGGGGATAGAAACATTTCATCCAGCTGGGCATGTGCTGTCCCTAGTGCTGTTTGTGGTAAATTAGCTAATTGTTGTCACTGTGGTTCATGGCCCTTGGAGCAAGTTAGAACTTTGGGGAAACTACTGCTCATTGGCCATGATCCTTTATTAATCTGTTTTTATCATGACAGAGCAGTTTTGAGGTCCATCTTTGCTAGCAGCTGCCATCTGGGGGAAATCTCTTGTTTTCCAGTAGGATCTTCTTAAGTCTCAGTTGACTCGACCAGGCTTTGCAGATGCCACTTTTGGGGCTGTTGCAGTCAGTGGGTTCTTGTTTGGATGTTGGAAAGGAGTAAAGTTTTCTTTGAACATTCAGCTTGACTCTGGCTTCGGCTTCGGCTTTATCAGCAACTTGGTGCAGGAGAATCATGGAACCCTATTCCTTAGATAGACCTGACTTGGAACTCTGAGAGTTTGCAAAGTATCCAGAGCTCACTGATACTTTTGAGGTAGTCACTCTCCCTTTCATTTGAAAGGATCTTGGAAATTTCAGAAATCTCTTGGCCCTTTCTCTTTGCAAATACTAGAATTATTTTGTGCTTGTCAGTTATTAAATGTGCTACAATGTTGTACACTTTGTTAAGAAGAGCAAATAGTCCAAATCTAGTTCTCTTCTATACTAGTGACAGAAAAAAAAAAAAAAAGAATAATATTAAGAAACTTGAGAATATGAGGGGAATGGAGCAGTGTCTCCATATGCCTTGTCATTATTATTTTAAAACACCATTAAAATGTAAAATGGGGCTAGGATTTTTAGGCTCTGCAGTAGAGCACTTGCCTAGCATGGTGAAGTACTGGGTTCGATTCTCAGTACCACGTAAATAAATAAATAAAATAAAGGTCCATTGACAACTAAAAAAATTTTTTTTTGTAAAATATGAGGTATTACCTTGATGGTTACCACCTGGTGTGCAAAGTGAGTTTCTTTGTGGATACTACCTGATGTTTATTAAGCCAGAGATGAATTTCTTCAATATCTTGAGCAAAGATTAAGGGATAGATTTTACTGGGTGAAAGGGAATTTTTCCAATCAAGAGAAGAGAAGGTATAGATCCCTCATCCTCCCATTGTCCCCCTGGATGTTTGTTGGGGCTAGTTTCTGCTGGAGTGGCTCCTCCTTGCCCGCTCCCCCAGTGTTCTTTCTTTATCAGGCAACTGTAGGGAGTACAGAGATACACAAAGTTCTAAAGACTCCAGACAGTCTGCATTTGTATATCAGTTGTTTTTTTTTTAAAATAGGAAAGAACTCTTGCTTTTTTTTTTTTTTTAAGAGAGAGAGAGAATTTTTTAATATTTATTTTTTAGTTTTCGGCAGACACAACATCTTTGTTTATATGTGGTGCTGAGGATCGAACCTGGGCCGCACGCATGCCAGGCGAGTGCGCTACCGCTTGAGCCACATCCCCAGCCCTGTATATCAGTTGTTTATAGAAGTTTGAGATGCCAGATACCTAAAAACTTGGGGACTTATGGGTTGTTACACCTTGAGGAGACAGTGGTAGGTATTATGGAAAGTTGAAATTGAGTGTAGCCCTTCTCATTTGGAAGAGAGGGAGCCCCCCAGTCCAACCTAGTTCATGAGAATGCTTTCAAGGTAACTTTCAGAATTACAAAATACTGTTTTATGTCTTAACTCCTTTGCTTGATGTTGGTTATAAGAATCCAATTTGTCATGAGTAGCCTTAGAAGGTTTCATTTCATTCTGCATAGGATTCCATTATATGAATATACTATAATTTATTTATTCATTGTGTGATTTAGATTGTGTATGAAATATTCTGGCATGAATATTATTAAAAGTTTATGATATCATACATTTCACTTGTAACAGTTATAACTCTTGATAATGGAATTGGTGGGTCATAGGTGGGGTCCCTAAGGAGAAGAAGGGGAAGCACAAGAGGCCCAAGACCTGATAAGCCTCAATGTAAGCCATAGTACCTGCCCCTTTAGTAGGTATTTCCAAACTTTTCCAGAGTGCTTTTATTAATTTATATTCCCACCAATGGGCTGAGTATTCCCATGCCTCCATATCCTTACCCGAAATTTATTCTCAGTGTGGTCATCATCAGAACCATTAATCAGATATTTCTAGGTCTTTCTCCTTCAGGACATATGGTAAAATTATAATTCTGTGCCCTCTTAAATTAACTATAGCTGTGTGATTTGTTTTAGCCACCAAAATGTGAATTTAGCTAAGGATATGTGAGTGAAAGTGATGCATGTCACTTCTAAGAACAACTTTTAAGAGCTGTACACAAGTTTGTCTTGTTTTTCTGCATTGGTAATCATGGATTAAGCATGGCCACGGAAGCTTCCTCTGTCTTGGTCCTGAGTAAGGGTGAAGGAGAGTGAGTGCCCCCAAGTGGACAATTTTGATCAGTGTAGTAGATGTGTAGTGTATTGCATTGTGACATGCCTGGAATTTCTCTGATAATTCACAAAGATGAGCATTGTTTCTTATGTTTATTGGCCACTGGGAGATCCTTTTTGGTGAAGTATTTATTACCTTGGTCTTTGTTCATTTTTATATTAGATTATCTGTTTTAAAATTCTATTTGTAGAAGTTCTTTTTTTATTTATTTGTTTATTTATTTTTAATTGTAATTACCAGGGGTTGAACCCAGGGGTGCTTACCCATTGAGCTACATTCCCCTTTTTATTTTTTTTATTTTGAGACAGGGTCACACTAAATTGTTTAGAGCCTTACTAAATTGCTGAGGCTGACTTTGAATTTGCGGTCTTCCTGTCTTAGCATCTCAGGTTGATGAGATAATATGTGCCACCCTGTCCAGTCATAGAAATTCTTTTTATTTTTGTGCCAGGGATTGAACCCAAGGGCATCTAACCACTGAGCCACATCCCTGACTCTTTTTACTTTTTTTTTTCTTCAATTTTGAGAAGAAAGCAATTAAGACAGTGTGGTATGGAATAGAACTAGAAAAACAGGACAGAATATAGAAACAGAGCCACATAGATATGGATTCTTACATCATTATAGAGGTGGCACTA